TCTTGCCTTACTCCCACTCACTGCTGCCCTTGCTAGCTATGCTTGTTTCGCTGTACTCGCAGACTCCCGCAGCGACTGGTTGTTTGATTACTTCCTGGCACACCATGTCAAATCAGTGTGACGCAGCTCAAGAATGCAGGTTCTCGCCCTAAACCAGAGGATGTTCGATTGTTTGATGTCGCTTTTCATTACGTACAGAGCAGCCTACATTCTATTCATCTTATATGGTATGGTCGCTCATGTCACTTTGGATATGAAACTTTCAAATTATATAGCAGTGGAGCACTATTTGTGTGGAGCTCTTCACGTACTTATTCAGCCTCACTATATACCGTTTTCGCGTGTAACATGGGCATTGACGAGTCTCTAATGTACCCTGCACATGGAGTTAGTGCCCCTTCGAAGTCATCTGCTTACGCAAGTTCCAACCGCTCCTGCAGATCGTTATTTACTAACCTAGACTTCGCACCTCTCCAGACCTCGGACTTATAGTCTCTGTTCCGATTACACATCAAAAGATACTCATGCATGTACACATACTCTGGAGCAATCAATCGGCCCCTAATATATGACTCATGCCAGCCTTAGAATCTACTGCAACATTTGTCCATCCCATCTACTCCATCCACTTACTACTATCAGATCCTGATGTAGAAATGATGATGTGATATAAATTACGATAGTGAGCTATTTAGCACTACACGAAACACGCCTATAGGCAAGTGACCCATATTAATCTGTCCTTTCTGACACATAGATTCGTCGTCTAGGGGTGTGTTCACATTGTATCTAAGATTACGATGAGCGCAGCACTAGGATCATGTATGTGACACTACCACACAGCGAGGTCGAGTGCGCCATCGAGCCGCGGACCACATAGAGGCAAGCGCGTGTGTATCAGAAAGTAAAATTGCTGTGGCATCGGGGAACATTGGACAAAGTTACGGCCACACCACCCTCACGCACCTCACCCTCCGCACCCTCCCTTACAGCACTCCCTCCCGTCGTAAAGCACTCCATTCACCTTTCCGTATCCCCCACTCCCCCTGCCCTCCGGTGCCCCGTCCCTTAGCACTCTCATACAGAGTCTCGTCAATTGTCGCGGCGATTGCATAACGACTCGCAATACCTTACGTTATTTTCATAACACCGCACTTTCTCACAATAGTATCGCTGTCACTTCCTTCTCATTCGGCAGCCTACAACTCCAAATACTCCACTACATTCTCTACTCGTCTAGAGAATCGCCTCTTACGACATCTAATTACATTACAATCTAACAATCGATTATATCGTGCTCACATATTCACATTTACTAAACACCTGCGCTTGCGTTATTCGCATAGTTGCTAAAACGTAATTCGCTGATACTAGCCTTGCCTACTTAGATGACAGACTAACGAGCTATGAATCGACCTCTCCCTGCTCCTGCACATACCTACGCCTAATGCTACGTACTAACTTTGTATACGCTATGCCCTACCATCACGACTCCCAGTATACTACCAATCTGCGCCGCGTAACCTCTGATGTCGAATCTTGCCATACCTACTTAATTTATGCCTCAACTCTCGCCCTCAACTCAGTCGCATGGGTAGTACAGAGGCGCTCACTTCGCTCATGCAACGTATTTATTAAATCGGACCTGCTTGTATTCTTCTTAATCGATGCACAGCTGGTACACTTACGTATTATAGATATATGTGTTAAGTTTGTTATTGAAGATATCACATCGCTCTATTTACTCACGTGATTGTCTTTACGATCATGATCAGATGTACGTATGCTTGAATTAGTCTGCCAAGAATAATATGATCACATTTAGTACTGTCATCTGTGTTATTTATGCTCTGCTTGCTTTGAAACAGTCGATACAGAAGTCAGAGGTCAGTCGTCCAATGAGCGACTAATGCTTCATATAAAAGGAGGGTCTGTAGTTCAAAAGTGAACACACACATACTATCAGCTGATTTATCACACATATATAGAAGAGTATCCAACAATGCATAAACTAACAGGTATAGGCAAACGATAATAATAATATGTAGCGACTATGATTCACTCAGTCTCTGTGATGCATAAACTACGTCACTTCGCCTGTATGGTCACGTAAGATTCATAACGTGGCAGGCTTTCCGACCATCTTGGCAGTCAGCTACGACGCGAATTCGACCACATCGTGAAGTATAGATATACATGCTATTGGAGATCAAACGCGAAGATCTGGACGTTTTTACATAGGTATGATATTTCTGGTTGCGCCTTGCTCAAGTATATCTTTAGTCAAAACGCGCAACAACGTCGCCCACTCTGTCTGTAACTCCAAAAACTAGGGCTAGACAATAAAATGACAAATTATGATCAAACATGATCGTATTAAAGCAATTTTCATTCTGAAATAAATCGCTTAAATTTCGCCAGCTCTGAAGATCCAAATTGTCAGGGGCCATGAGGCGGGAGAAAGTTTAAGCTGTAACATATGATTACAGTATGTTACATAAATTAGGTTCAGAGACGCGGAGTGCGGCTAACAGACTCAGGTGTTTGGCGGTAGTCTAGTAGACAGAGCGTCGCGCATCTTGTGCGGCTAGTATTGATTGTTATAGGGCAGGAATTGTGGCTAACACGTGTTTAGGGTCGCGGCGTTTCTAGCGCGTCATTGGTGAAATGCGAGGTGGGAGACGCGCGTTCTGGAGAAACGGCGTGACATGTGCGCGCTTCAGGATGTAGGGTTTTGGGCGGGGTAATATATAGAACAGAGCTGTAGGCCAGCGGGAGTGCTGCGCTTGTGTCACGGGGAGGAAAGCCACAGCCGGCGCTTTAGGCGCACCAGCACGTGTGCGCCGTTTCTTTGTCTCTCTCTGCAAGATGACTGACTACACTGTTGTGCCAACATATTTAAAGTTTATTTCAATTTAATACACAAATTTGGATCTTACTATCATCATTTCTACATCGAGATTTAAATTCATCAACGTTAGCAAAGCTATAGCTAATGCTTCCAAACATCATGTAGTAAGAACGCAGCACACACCGCCTGCGCACACAACCCTACATCACATCTCAGCGCACCCGGCACACACGCGCAATATATATATATATATATATATATATATATATGACCTAATAAAGCAAGTAAAGTCACACGATTTGTCGTCCGTATTCATGGCAACGCCGCGAAGTTGTCGTGATATCATTACTTTCTTGATTATCTAATAACGCATTGTATTTGTTTTTGATTATTTGATTCTATTCAATGGTCTGCTGACCTGATGAAGATGATGTTAATCTCGA